AGAGGTAATACATCTGGTCTTGGCTTTTCTTTAGTCTATACAAGTGGACAAGCTCATCCACCGATAGCTCGCCTAAATCGGCTATCATGTATGCTATATACATTCCTACGATTATTATGTATGAATTCCCGTTAGTTGGAGGGGTGCACTGCCGAACCTTTTCAGTACATCGGCAATAAAGTAATGAGGTGGGACGAATATTCCACAACTCAGAAGGGTGTTCGAGATCATCACCTAACATTTGAAGGGATTTTTTTTGGAGATATCTCCCGGAGCCATCAACGAAAGTTAAGTTGCATAAATATCTTTTATGCACTCAAGATTGTCGACTCCAATTAAGGAACTTGGTTCCTTCCTAGGTCTACGAACTGGTGAGCTCCTTAGCAAAGGAAGTTCGGCAGAAGCATTGTCCGAAGAGCTCGCAGCATCGTTGTCCGAGCTCTTTACAATAAAATCCTCATAAACATTTTCTAGGACTCCTCCCCCGCAAACTACTGAGGTTGTCGGGGAATCAAAAAGCTTATCTATGCTATGGCTGTTGGACAGAGACATGGTGGAAGCATGCCTCTAGATACTTGAAACAGAAGTAACCAAGTGTCAGAGCTAAAAAATTAGCGACCTATCCACACTTGCTTTTAGTTTAGGCATCCAAGATAGCCTGCATCAACCAAGGAGTGTGAGCGAGCTACCAAGATTCCCGCGGCCACCTCCCTAAACCCTCTTAAAACCTAAAATTTACTAAAAAAAACCGTAAAAAAGCTAGTGTGGCCATGGCAATGGCCACGCTCAATGGCAAAGAAAGCTTAAAATAAAGAAGAATGAAGACAAGAGCCTTACCAAAGTGCAAAACACGATGGGAACTAGCTGAAAAGTCGTCGTGAATTTGAAAGAGCAACGATAGAATAAGAAGCAAATGGCTTTTGGATATTGCAATGTGTGATTATAATAAAGAATGCCCGCTTTTACAATGGTGAGCATAGGAGACGAAAGGGCAAGATTCGATCTTGACTGTCGATCTACAACAAATCTCAGCCCTCCATTCATCGAGCAATCTTGACGTGTCCATGTGTCAACCATCTATAAAGGGCGATCAACCATCAGAATTCTGCAATCATAACCGCTGTCACAAATCACTTAGACTTCGTGTATGCAAAACTGTATTAGCCAACGCGTGACGAAAAGTAAATGCAAAAGCCAACTGCATTTAATAAGACACGATCATGTGGAAATAACCTACATGCCCCTCATTTCAACTTCCAAGTTTGTCAAGAATATCACAGTGAAAAGCTAAGTCTTTTTCACAGCGACTAAAACTTGGCCAAATCTGCATTCAACATACAACTCATGAAGCTCGACCAAATCTGCATTCAACATGCAACTTGTGAAGTTCGAGCTAAATATGAAATCAAGCAATTAGTTTTCGAAGCTCAAAACGAGTACCGAACACTAGGAAGCAGATGTTGTGAGTAATTTTTCCATTAAGCTCGGAGAAGTCAAAGTCCCGCGAGGTTATAGTTCAGCTCAAAATCAGTTCGGCTCAACACTAACACTTGTCCGACCCAACATAAGCTCGTTAAGATATAGGTCGACCCAACGTAAGCTAGTCACTACCAACTCTGGCAATTGTTCGACAGATCACAGATAAGCTAAGATCTTGGATATTTCATAATAGATCAGATCAACAACAGTAATGACGCAATCTTAGCACACAATCACGAGATATTGGAATTGCAATTTGAACGTGATTGCAATCCCGATTATTTCTCTCTTTCCTTATTTACAAAGTTGTATGTAAACCCCCTCCAACGATGGGAGAGAGGTTAGCAAATTGTTCTACGCGTATTACTATTTTCTTGTAAGCTCTCTAAAGCAATCAGAAAAATAGTGGACGTAGGCTTAAGTTCCAACTTGCCAAACCACTTTAAAATCTGATTGTGTTATTTACATTCACGCATTTTATATATACATTCGTTGGTTATCTTTAATCACGCACACATCCGTTCCGATTCCATTAAGGTCAATCGGATCACTCTAATTACTGTAAATCTTGCATCGACATATATCATATTTTTCATTCAAAGGGGGCACATGTTACTAATGGCTACAATAAAAGGACATGCATGCTAGTTAACAACAATTGAGACAAACATAAAGAAGAAGCAGACTTTGTGAGGTTCATTAAATATATTATACAATAATGCTAGATCCACAACCCAATCTCACAACCTTCTCTCATAACTCCCTATGCGGTAGCTCGTTATTAGTTAGCTCGCAAATGGGCAGGCAGGACCCATATAAATAGGTGAGACCCATTTTACAAACTAACGAATGACGATCTATCACATTGGAGGTTGCGAGATTGACTTGTGAACCTAACATTACTCTGCATCATATGATTAAACATAATAATTTTTTTTTTAATTATATGAGCAAAACTAATTGCATTACACGATCCATGTTAAGATTAAAGAAAAAAAGTCATACATTATATCTAGAATTCCAAATGCACAACTGATACAAAAAAGAAGTAATTGTTGTGTGTTTATGATTAGATGAGCCTTCTTTATACAAAATTTTAAACTAAACTGAATAAGGAAACTAGACAAATAATACAAAATTGGGTGGGGAGCAAAAGAAGTATGAAAGTAAATAATAAAATTAAAGCTTGACAATATTAGTTTCTCAAAACGGCTACTAACATTTAGGGGTGTAGTTGAGGGAAGCTGCTCACGAGCAGCTCAGATTCGGCTCGGTTCGAGCTTGAGCTCGAACAGCTGGGTGCCCATTCGAGGCGACCCCAAACCACCTAGTTTTTGACTTAAATATTAAAATATTTAAGCTGAAAAACTAATTGCGTTACACAATAGGTATTAAAAAGATTAAATTAAAAAAAAAAAAAAAAAGTTTAGAATTCCAAATACACAAATGATTACCACATTAATTCATAAAGAATAGTTTGTATCAATAGTTTATATATGTAATATTATTCGATTATATGTATTTTTTTTATATATGTTACTTTCGAGAATAAATTCTTTTAAAAAAGTTATAAAAAAACGATTATCAATAATTACAAAATAATTTCAATTTAATATCTATGTTATCTTCTTAATTATTATTTTAAAAAATTACTAATTGTATACCGATGATAGATGCAATTGATTCTCTAGTATTAATAATATCGAAATTGAAATTCTTGATTGGTTAATATCTAGTAATAATTAGAGAATGGTTGTAAAATGCGTAATTATAAACTTTATCTGAAACTTGTATGGCGTAATTACTATCTATACGAGGAATCGGGAAACAGAAGAAATATATCTACTTAACTGAGAAAAATCGAAGTTTATAAACTACCGAAAATGTATGTGACAAAATTTCACACGTTCTTATCTACTCTTGCAAGCAAAATCTAATCTCAAATAATTTGTATAAAAATGGTGTTTTTTAAGCAACAAAAATGGTTTGAAAATCTATATCATTAATTTAATTTCAATTTATTTAATAAATTATTCTTTTTCTAGTATTTTTTAACTTAATTTTCTTCTTTCCTATATATCATAAGTGAGAAGCAACAAAACAAAGATTTCTTCAAAAGGAAATGCTTATTGCACTTTTACTCTTTTTTTCTTCTTTTTCATTTGTTTACTTATTTGGAAATTTTTTACTCGAATAAACTTATGATTTAGAAAAAATAACGAAAGTCCATTAAAAAAAAAAAAAAGAAATTAAACCAAAGGATGGAAATGATACTTTCTACCATAATTCTACAAATAATATCAAAAGCAGTTAAACCAAATAATTCAACTTAAAATTATCTATAATTTAATAAAATAAAATAAAAACAAGTTGAAGTGATTTACAACCAAAAGTTATGCAAGAGCAAGATGAAAATAGAGGTAAAAAGTTTTGAAAGATTTTATTAAAAATTTTCAATAATTATGTATGTACAAATACAATATATTATTAAACTAAAAAAATTTAAAAAAAGTGATGTTTAAATAATATCACTCTTTGTATAATCGACGGCAATGTAAGAATCACCCAGAGAATATCGGATAAGATAAAATTTGAGCCACAAACACAAGACTCCAGAGGCCCAAAGATAAGCACTCCAGGGCTTTGCCACTTTTCATGAATCAGGCCGTTGAAACCTGCAATAGACCTCTTCTTTATAAGCTTGAAGTGATTGGAAAATAAAGCAAATCCACCCGCAATGCTCTTTTATGTTCTTGCTTTTGTTTTGGTGTATTCAAAGACCATTTCCTATTGCAGTTTACACTTAAGTCCACACAATGTCATATTCATAATTAATTTAATAGAATAAGGACATCGGTTTCTTCTAATAGTTTCCACATATATTTCAACTCTTTACAAACTTACAAAAAGGATAGAAAATGAATACATTTATCAATTATTGTATGAAGAAAACAAGCTTCCAATCACTTTCAGCTCAACAAAATCAAATCATTCAATGGGAATTTAGGGTTTATTTTATACATCCCCTTGTGGGAACGTTTAATCTTAACACATAGAAGATCTTGGAAATCTATTAAAAACTCCCCTGTAATTATTGAAAACCCCAATAAGACCAGGACTTTTAACAATTTAAGGAAGGTATTTAATAATTATAACGGGGTTTTTACAGTATTTGAAAAGCTTGGGAATCGTGTGTAGGTGGCCCCTTGAGTCAATGAAGGGAGAAACCTTATTGACCGTTAGTCTAACCTCTTGAAGTTTAATTATTTAGCATTGAAACATAATCCATAATCAGAACAACCCAAAAATTTAAACATATAACAAGATCTATTATAACTCGAGCCAAAAAAATTCAGCAACTAATTCATCCAAAAGCTTTAAAGTAAAAACTAATAATCTTAAATTTTTTAATTTACAGCCACTTTTACTGTTAAAAGGAAAATCCATCTACCCGTTTATTTCACAAACAATTTTATTCAGATTGTTTTTCAAAGATGAATACAGAGTACAATCAACAATCAGAACACAGAACAAAAATTATTATAACGAAATTTTTTATGTCTGATAAAATTATATGTACAATATTCATTGCCTATAATATGATTAGTAAGCAAACTATACAATTTCTATTTCTCGGCAACTAACAAATACCATTAGAAAAGTAATACTCCTCAACTCTTTCAAGCAACACTTTTCGCCCAAAAGCACCTTAATTTTCTCATTCTGGAGAGGAAAAAGAAAAAACACACTATCTATGAAGTAGAAACATGCATATATACAATAAAATAAAACATATCTATAAGTCCTTTGATAATTCTTCCCTTTGCCGGCGCATTCGAGCTCCCCATGACATGTTTCCTTTCACATCCTTATTCATGCTTCTTCTCTTCAGCTCAGACAGCTGAGATTGCCAACGATTCTTCCACTCGCTTCTGTCTTCCATCTCCTGATTGCAAAGAGAACACCAATGAGTTAATGGTGATTAATATAACAGCAGTTAGACTCTGAAATCAAAAGAAGACGAACTCTTTTAAAACATTAGAGGGCATTGCAAACACTGCAAGCAAATCTTGAAATCCAATGAAAACATAACCAGTCCACCCTTTTCTTTTAAACATTCAAAGGCTAAAAAATCTCTCTTGAAAGAAGAGAAAAGCAAGTAAAATTTCCACATGGATAAAATAAATGATATAGAAGAAGATTTGGAAGAGATTAAACCATAACCACCAAAACAGCCCCTCAACTTATGAGTATAAAATATCAAGCAGACATCTTTGAAACCAAAGAAACTAACGTGATTTCAATCCTACATCACTAAAACATAACAGAAACCAATGTGATTTGAATCCTACATCACTAAAACATGACAGAACAATTCAATTTGCATCGGAAAATGACAATCACACTACCAAAAGAGTAAGGAATACTTAAATCTCATATAAACCAAGAAACAAACTTCTGTTCCGAAAATGAAATGTATTAAACAGCGGGATGATAGCTGACAATCCTGACACTGAAAAAGCAAATGAAATATGAAGAAGGCCACAACTGAGCTTCGTACTGTGATCAATCCACAAAATTTTGAAAAGAATTACAATAAATACCCCTAAAAATCATAGTTTTCATATAAGTTTGTTCACTTTAAGCTGTTTTCTCCACCCAGTTGATTTCTCTTTACTAAATTAAAGCATGGAAGTACCATTTGTTCATACATCCACCTCTTCTTGCAAAGAAACAATATTATCTCAATACATCAAAAAATTACATTAAAACCCCCAATTTCCTCCAAACCCACCTTAATCAAATTGATGCACGAAAAACAATAAATTAAAACCCTAGCAAATTAATAATAATAAAGAACAAAAATCAAAGAAAACGACAATTGAACAACACATCCATATCCCAAAAAATAAAAATAAAAATAAAAAACACAGTACCAAGTCGTTTTGATATCGTCTTCTGGCGGAGAAGGCGAGGTGAAGGCTTTTAGATATATCACGATCATAGAGAGCTCTCCTTCTAGGATCCGACAACGTCTCATAAGCCTCCTGGACCCGAATAAACCGCTTCGTATACTCCTCGACCTGATCCGGCGGCGACACGTCAGGATGATACTTCCGTACCAGCTGCTTGTAGGCCTGCTTAATCTCCGGCAAGGTTCCTGACTCGGGTATCCCCAGAAGCTCGTAGAAGCTCAACTCGGCGGATTCTTTCACCAAAGCATCATTGATTTTGGCCTTTATGGTTAAGGACCCAATTGGGATTCGGGTCGGCTTAAGACGGAGGAAGGGGTCGGGTGGAGTGGAGAAGAAGCGAGTTTGAGTTCCGGGGAGCAAGAATCCATTGTTGGTGCTGCAACGCATTGGGAGACTTTTGGTGTGCGCGTCTGCTTGGGGACGGATTTGTTTTGTGATATTTATTTGAAAAGTATTTTTATGTGTATTTATTGGCTTACCGGGTCTCTCTTTCTTTAGGTGTGGCTGGCTCCAGTTGTTTCAATGTCTTTGCTTGTTTTCTTCTTTTTCACTTATTTTATTGTAATTAATAATTAAGGAAAATGATTTACTGTGTTAATTGGGTTAATCACCACTTTTTTCTTCTAAGATACGGGATATTCATAAAATAACCAAAAAATTAATCATCTTTTCAAACTCTAAAAAGATTATTCTAGTAATATACTCAAAAATATTTTAATCATAAATTTTATCACTCATAATTAAAACACTTTACACATTTCACCTCTGGAGTCCAAGTTAATTTCTTCAAACTTAAGGGAGATATATAAAATAAACCCTATTGATTGACAGAGAAATGATTCCATACAACTCATAAGATTTGTTATCTTATCCTGATAATATTCGAAGGAGTGACATCAACGGTTGTCAATCACCCAGAACAAAACGGAGCCCTTTACATAATTACAATTACACTCGAACAAAAAAGCCACGTGCATAATCTCATAAAATCTTGGATTAAATTAAATAAACAGATTTGAGCAATAATTTGGCGTTTATCAAAAATCTTGAAAATGACAATTTTGAAAAGGATAATTAAGATTAATTACATATAGTTGTCAACTAAATATATAAATGAACCTCACGAATCAGGAGTCATACATGCTTAAGTAAATTATTGTTTTATTAATCACAATAAACATTATAAAATTTGTATAGAATTTGATGTCATTTTCTTAAAGATGTGTTGTCTGCGATTTTTCCATCAAACTCGGAGAATTGCGAGGTTATAGCTCGATCCCAAACCAGTTCGACTTAACCAATTGTCTGACCCAACATAAGCTCGTCAAGTTGTACCTTGACCTAACACAAGCTAGTCATGACCAACCCTTATAGTTGTTCAACCAGCTCACAAATAACTTCAGATTACGAATATCTTGGAAATGATCAGATCGACAGTAATCTTGGCGTAATCTCAACGCTCAATTGCAAAAATATCGGAATTGTATTTCAATCTTAAATTTAATCCCTTTATTTTCGCTCTTTCCTTTGTACATAATCTGTATATAAACCCCCTCCAACGATGAAAAAGGGGTTAGCAAATTGTTTTAGGATTATTATTGTAAACTCTCATAGCAAATATAAAAACAGTGGACGTACGCTCAAGAGCATCACTTGCCGAACCACTTTAAAAATTCATTGTGCCATTTACCTTATTGCTTTTTCCGTTTATACATTGCTAGTTACCCATAATCACGCACACATTAGTTCCGATCCCATTAAGGTCGATCAGATCACTCTAATTGGTTTATTTTTGTATCAATAATTTGGCGCTAGAAGGAGGACCTCCACAAAAATCTCAGAATTTCTAGCAAACAATCCTAGTAACCCGATCACTCAAGGCCCACAATGGTTTGTACATGATCAAAAACCACCACCGAAAACCATGAAAACGTGGAAACCACCCACCAGGAGGTGCATCAAGACGCCACCAGGCGTCGACCACCAGTGCCACCAACACAACAGACTGCAAATAACTAAGGGGTAGGGATGTCGAATCCCGAGAATGGCCAACTAGTGGAGATGATCAGAACAATAGTTGCATAGGCAGTGCAACAGAACATGGCTGAGCTAAGAAATCAGCAACCGACCCCCTGAGATTTTAACCAGCCACGTTTCACAGATACTACACCGACAGATCGGAATTCAACCGGCGACTATTCTGGTTCATCAGCACTAAGGGGCAACTGGCATCCCCGACGACACATGTACATTCCGCTCACGAATGTGAGTCCTGCGAGCAAACTAACCCCATGAGGCAACTAGGAAAACAGACAGTGGGGGAAAATGAAGGCAATGGTTGCCCACGGGACACTCAACCTGCTCAACGATACCCCCAACATCAACGTGTCAGTTTTAACCCACACCCAAGGCAGGCTTAGACCTCGTAAGCTCATGAGGCGAGTCATGTGCCCCAATCTGACAATGACCAATGTTCTAGTTATAACCAACATTGCGAGTAACACACTGATGAGCATGATAGCACCTACCAGCCCAACCATCATGACTCAACCTCGCGTATCAATGCGCATAATGGAGGGGGCCCACAAGCAATAGATTTGCGAACTCACTTGCTCGAGGTAAGGCTGAGTAAAGCCAGCTAGAGCAACCCTCACAATGAAAACTTAGATTGGGTGTAGAAAATGCTCGACGATCTAAGAGCCCGCCAGAACAATGCGGCGGAAGAGATAATAAGCTCTCTCTTCACAGAGGAAGTTTACCAAGCCCCACTTTCCCAGGGATTCAAGGCGTCAAAAAGCAAGTTTGATGGGAAAGGAGATCCTAGAGACCACCTAAACACTTTTAATGACTTAACACTTTTAATGAATATCGGAATTGTATTTTAATCTTAAATTAATCCCTTTATTTTCGCTCTTTCCTTTGTACATAATCTGTATATAAACCCCCTCCAACGATGAGAAAAGGGTTAGCAAATTGTTTTAGGATTATTATTGTAAGCTCTCATAGCAAATATAAAAACAGTGGACATACGCTCAAGAGCATCACTCGTCGAACCACTTTAAAAACTCATTGTTCCATTTACCTTATTGCTTTTTCCGTTTATACATTGCTGGTTACCCATAATCACGCACACATCAGTTCCGATCCCATTAAGGTCGATCAGATCGCTCTAATTGTTTTATTTTTGTATCAACAATTTGGCGTTAGAAGCAGGGCCTCCACCAAAATCTCAGAATTTCTGGCAAACAATCCCAGTGACCCGATCACTCAAGGCCGATAAGGGTTTGTACACGATCAAAAACCACCACCGAAAATCATGACAACGTGGAAACCACCCACCAGGAGGTGCATCAAGACGCCACCAGGCGTCGACCACTACTGTTGCCAACACAACAGACTGCAAATAACCAAGGGGTAGGGATGTCGAATCCCGAGAACGGCCAACTGGTGGAGATGATTAGAACAATAGATGCATAGGTAGTGCAACAGAACGCGGTTGAGCTAAGAAATCAGCAACCGACCCCCCGAGATCTTGACCAGCCACGTTTCACAGATATTACACTGACAGATCAGAATTCAGCCGATGACTGATCTGGTTCATCAGCACCAAGGGGCAACTGGCATCTTCGACGACACAGGGTACATTCCGCTCATAAACGTGAGTCCTGTGGGCAAACTAACCCTAGAAGGCAACTAGGAAAACAGACAATGGGGGAAAATAAAGGTAATGGTCACCCACGGGACACTCAACCTACTCAATGATGCCCTCAACGTCAGCGTGTCGATTTTAACCCACACCCAAGGCAGGATTAGACCTCGCAAGCTCGTGAGGCGAGTCATGTGCCCCAATCTGACAATGACCAATGTTCTAGTTATAACCAACATTGCGAGTAACACACTGATGAGTATGATAGCACCTACTAGCCCAACCATCATGACTCAACCTCGCACATCAATGCGCATAATGGAGGGGGCCCACAAGCAATAGATTTGCGAACTCACTTGCTCGAGGTAAGGCTGAATAAAGCCAGCTAGGGCAACCCTCACAATGAAAACTTAAATCGGGTGTAGAAAATGCTCGACGATCTAAGAGCTCGCCAGAACAATGCGGCTGAAGAGATAATAAGCTCTCTCTTCACAGAGGAAGTTTACCAAGCCCCACTTTCCCAGGGATTCAAGGCGCCAAAAAGCAAGTTTGATGGGAAAGGAGATCATAGAGACTACTTGAACACTTTTAATGACCTGATGGAACTACACCAGGTTTGTGACTTGACAAAGTGTCGCTGCTTCGCTGTCACATTGATAGGGGATGCCAAGAGGTGGTACAAAAGGCTCAAGGCAAACTCAATTAGCTCCTTGCAACAGTTCTCCTCGTTGTACCTATAACAATTCCAAGTGAGGAGACAGTTCTCAATGCTGCTCAGCTACCTGAGCAATATTCATCAAAAGAGAAACAAAACACTAACGTCGTATCTGACAAGATTCCACAATGAGCAAGCAAAGGTTATGGATGCACCCGAAGAATCAATCCAGACTTTGCTAATTACAGGCATCAGGCTATAAAGGGAGCTGTGGAAAGAGCTCCAAAATGAAGACCACGTGAGCCTGACAAAGTTTTATTAGATGGTTGCTAAGCATCAGCGAGTGGAAAGCTCGCTAGCTGCCCTAGCTTGAAGCTCGCCATGAAAAGCCTTAGACAGATGACAAGATTGCCCAACAGATAAACGAATGGGCCAAAACCACAATGACAGGGACTAGAACAGGTTCCAAAAAAGACAAAAAACAGAAAATCATGGGGAAAGGCAACCTTTTGCACAATATGTAGAATACACCCCCCTCACTTAAGACATAGCTCATATATATGAAGTCTCCCATGAGGCTAAGAGACTACTCGCTTCAGAAAGGATGAGGGAGGCACCGAACAAAAGAGATCGACAGAAATATTGTTGATACCATTGGGACATCGGGCACAACACCAATGAGTGTAGGGCTTTAAAGGATGCCATCGAAGATCTTATCTGAGGGGGCCACCTAAAAGAATTTGTCAAGGAGGCGCCAACTAGTGAAAATATAAGCGAGCAAAATAATCAAGTCCAACAAGCCCCAACCAACAATGAGGTCTTGGTAGGCATGATCTATGGGGGGGCCCGACATTGCAAAAAGCTCAAGGCACTCTCGCAAGTAATATGCTCAGAAGCTGCCGAAGTAGCCCAGACAAGAGAGTAAGGTGATAGGATTCACCGTGGATGAGTGTGAAAAATCTCCTCACCACAATCATGATGCGATCGTGATTGTAGCAAGGATTGACAATGCCTGAGTACTCAGGGTGATGGTCGATAATGGCAGTGCAGCGACCATCATTTTCTTGGGAGCTTTCCGAGAAATGAGGTTCACAAAACCATATCTAAAGGTGTGTCCATTGTCGCTTTATGGATTCACTGGGGACAAT